GTTTAATTCAAGTCTTGTACAGAGATAGGATCGCTTTATATGATGAACGGATTTCATTCAGCCTTTTATTTACATCTAAACGATGATCTAAACCTCTCAGGGTTGATTGCAAGAATCTTGATTTGTGTTTTGCAGATTAACCGAAGTCTTACAGGTTTGGAGCGACATGAATTATGACAGGATTGACATTTCTGGGTGATTTATTCCTGTAGGTCGAGCCTGTCTTTAAAAGCACACAGAAGCGCCGTCAGTGTCTGTTTGACAGAATCTGGGCTGTGTACATACTCTGGGAGGCGTGTGTGTGTGTGTGTGTGACCGTCTTGAATATTTAAATGTGTGTGTGTTTGTGCTGACACTCGTTTGACTCGGCTGTCATGATTCTCGGACTCTGAAAGGTGTTTGTCAGTCGCTCGTAGCTCGTCGCTGTCACTGACGCCACATGAAAGCACAGCGTCTCAGAAGACGCCGCGGCGCCGAATAACGAACACAGAAGCAACGTCAGCGTGCATTCAGTTGGCTTTAGTGTCTGTTTTGATGCATTAAATACATCTGCCCTTCATGACCTTTACAAAACCAGTCGTGTAGCTGCTGTTATACTGTGAATATGTGTATTTATGTTATGAGTATATTTACAATAGAACATGAGCCTGAGAGCCTGTCAGTGTCAGTGTTATTTTAGTATCATAAAGTTAATTTTTTTCCATTTTCCATTTTCATTTAAATTTTAGTTCAAGTTTAGTAATTTTCTTGTGTGTTTTTGTCATTTTAGTAGTTTTATATATATATATATATATATGTCTGTGTGTGAGTGTGAGTGTGTGTGTAAATTTATGTCTATATATATATATATATATATATATATAATTGTTTAGTTTTAGTTCTTTTAGTACATAAAGTTAAAAGAGAAATGTTGCCTTGAAAACTAGCTGATATATATATAGATTTTGTATTTTATTTTATTTCAGTTAACTTCTTTTCATTTCAACTAACGTTTTTTTATTTATGTTTTTTTATACATTATATATTTATATATTATGTATTTTATTTTTTTTGGTCAGTAAATTGATTAGAATTGAATAATGTATTTTATTTGTATTGAAGAATTAGAATTACTCAATACAATTTAAAACAAAATATTTATTTTTTTGTATTTAATATAACTTATTTAATATTTCATCATAAAAAAATTATAATTATAAAATGTATAAATATATTAACTTGATGCTGAAAATACAGCTTTGATCACAGAAATAAATTACAGTTTAACAGAGATTCACATAGCAAACAGCTGTTTTAAATTCTAATAATATTTCACAATTTTACTGTATTTTTAATCAAATTAATGCAGCCTCGTTGAGCAGAAGAGACCTTCAGAAACATTTAAAAAAGTCAAACATTTTAACACTAATGCATTTCAAGATAAGATGCGTTTATATTTATTTTCCAGACACAGTGTTGAGCTTTAAAATGAAACTTTTGAATCAAAGTCGTTTTCTGTGTCTGTAAGGCTTCTAAAAGGTTCACATGATGGAAATGAAAGAGCATTGCAGGTTAAATCTGACTCATCTTGGCTTCTGCGGTGATTCATGCCATGATAACCTTCTGGTCTCAGACGTAACCTCAGTCACAGAGCTGCTGATAGAGCCGAGATGTTCGTCAGAATGCTCTGTTCCTCTGGGTCTGCACGGCCCTCAGAAGCCAGCGCTGAGGTTTATTTTCATAATTAGCTGTAATTGCGCGGCGAGGAGAGCGTCTCGTACGGCATTAATGTTTCATGAGTTTCTGTAGCGGAGGAACAAACGTGGGCTGCTGCTGCGTCTGCGTCTACATTTCATTCAATGTAACTAATAATATTCTCAAAGCAGAATAATGTCTGTCACCACAGAAAATAATACTAAAACAACCCTCAGAGCAGTGTTGGGGAAAGTTGCTTTTAAAAGTAATGCGTTACAATGTTGCGTTACTCCATAAAAAAGTAACAAATTACGTTACTTAGTTACTTTTTATGGAAAGTAATGCGTTACGTTACTTTTGCGTTACTTTTTAAATCTGGACAGGGCTTGCTTGTTTGTTTTTAAAATAAAAAAGTTACATTTTTGGCAAATATAAAAGCCTTTTCACACCAAAAGTGAAATGAATAAGCCTCAGGCTGAAGGGAAAGTAAAGTAGAATGCAGAAGAAGACATTTCAACACACTTCAGCAATAAAAAAAGACACAAATGTTTGTCTAGAGTAATGTGTGCTTATTAGTACGGTTGAACTGGATCATCGAAGGTCAGAAGCAAATAGAATGGGATTAAATACATAAAGGATATTTGTGTTGTTTAACATTTAATTATTGCAGGTTTGCGTCATATTCTGAGTTGCATTGTTTTTATTCATTTTGCGGAATACTGAATCTGTGTTTGGTTTGTGAGTGAGATGAATTAATGCATATTCATATTTATTTTAGTAATGTTTAGTAACATCTTCTGATTTCTGTCACCATGGCGACACCAGAGCTGTCAATCAACACATTGGAAACAAAAGTAACTTGCGTTACTTATTTGAAAAAGTAACTCAGATATTCTCTTGTAAAGTAATGCGCTACTTTACTAGTTACTTGAAAAAAGTCAAGTCACCTTTATTTATATAGCGCTTTTAACAATACAGATTGTGTCAAAGCAACTGAACAGCATTAATTAGGAAAATAGTGGGTATCTGCGCAGAAACATCGAGAACACGAGCGCCAGGGAAACAGTGAGTGTGCACTTTACCTTCAGCTAACGTAGCACGGACGTGCCGGACGATGGAGTCTCCGATGATCACAGCGTCGCGTTCCGTCTCGCGGAGGGGAGCAAAGCGGTTCCGGGTGGAGGTCTCGAAGACCGGAGGCGGCGGAGGGGGAGAGGTCGTCGCCCGGGGCCCAGCTCGCGTCTTCCGTGGGGGGTGCACCCAGGGTCCGTGGTGTCCCGGCGCCGGAGTGAAGGACATCTGGGAAGATCGCGTCATGGTTGCACCGGGCCTGTGCAGAGAAACACACGGAGTAGAGGTGGTGGGAGAATTAGCAGCGCGCTGTATACTTACCTCGGACTTGTGAGCGTCAGCCTGGGATGTTTCCAGCGCGGCTCTCCGCTCTCTCAGCTGGGTCTGCTTCTCCACCAGGTCACGGATCTGCTTCTCCACGGCCTCCAGCTCGAGCTGCACCGAATGCAGCTCGAACGTGTCCTCACCTGCACTCAAAGGTAGACACACATCCGCCATTAAAGCAAGTAACAGTGAATAGTGTATTAGTAATGTAAGCGAGATTAGCGGCAACCACGCTGGCGATGCTAGTGGGCTATATGCTAATAGCGGACTCGGGAAGTCAAAAATAGAACTAGTGATAACAAGGCGCTCTGATTGTTTTTGTTGTAGAATACGATAGGGGATATATTCACACGTTATAGAAACGAAAATGATGGTGTATAAAATTGATTTTAAGATAAAAAAATTAGACGACAAAGAATTAACTTGACGGAGCTCAAACTCAAAACACATGGCAGCAACAAACAGGAAGTGACGTTTAGTGACTGAATGCCTGTAAAAAGTAATCTGATTACATTACTCGTGTTACTTGTAATGCGTTACCCCGACACTGTCTCAGATTAAAAAACTAGAAGTGAATGTTATGCAATAAACGCTGTATATGTTATCATGTTCGAAAACCTAGTCAACATCCGACATAAGCAGCATTTTAAGGCATCATACTGTAGATGCATAGCATGCCATGAATTCTTTGTGCACAAGATAATCCCAAAATGCATTGCAACATGTGAAAAAAAAATGTATCCAAGATGGCAGATGAGGTAAGAAAAAGGTTAATTTATTAATTTATCATGAATTAGAAGTTTATATAAATATTATAGATTGTAGAAAATTACAATAATATTACAATATAATTTAATGTTAAATTAAAATGATTAAATAATTTAAATATTCAGTTCGATTTTTAGTTTTATTTTATGAATAGGCTTTTAACATTTTGTTTGATTTTAATATTATATAATTAATATACAAAATTCATCTTAATAATATACTATTAATATTTTTATTTGATGTGATTATTAAATAATTGAAACATTCAATTCAATGTTTCATGATAATTTAACAGTTTTAATAATATACTATTCATATTTTTTGTTTGATTTTAATGTTAAATTGTTGAAATACACTTTCAATTAAATGTTTAAAAATAGGTTAAAATTTTAATATGCTATTAATATTTTTTTGTTTGATTCAAAATTTTAAATTTAAATAAATATTTAAATTATTTAAAATGTTTAATGGTAATTAAATGTATAATGCTAATTTAACCATTTTAATAATATACTATTCATGTTTTTGTTTGATTTTAATATTATATAATTTTAATAAAAATTCAATAATGTTTATTAATAATTTTAACAATATGTAATAATAATAATAATAATAATAATAATGATAATAATAAATGTAATAATAATAATAATATGTAATAATAGTTTTAATAATATGATATCAGTATTTTGTTAGGTTTTAATTTTCATTTAATTTAAAAATGCACTTAATATTTTTATTGATTTTAATATTAAATTATGCATTTAATTAAATGTTTAAAATTAACAGTTAATTTGTAACAATTAAAATTTTAATGATATAAAATTATTGTTTTATTTGATTTCAAATAGTAAAATAATATAAATATTCAATTAAATGTTTAATAATAATTTAACAATAGTAATTTTTTATTGATGAATTTGTGTGCTTGTTAGAGTAAACATGCTAATGCCAAACTTGAGTAAACTGAGGTGATTTTCTGTGGTAACTGAGATGCTGCACATTCTGATTGATGATCATAGATCAAGTTCATTTTCCTCTTTTCTCCAAATCTTCATATCCGACTCCATTCTCATGTGTTGTCCTGACCTTTTGACCTGTTGTTTGTCGCTCATGTTCATTCTGCTAACCGTGTTTTTCTCTGTTATATCATTGTGTTTCAGAGCTTCTTTGAAGGGCAGGCGGCGCCGTGGGACTCGGCCAAAAAAGACGAGAATAGAATGAAGAACCGTTACGGCAACATCATCGCATGTACGTAGAGAAGCGTTCCTAACTCTGTGTGAGTGTCTGTGTGTGTGTGTGTGTGTGTGTGTGTGTGTGTGTCTGTGTCTGTGTCTGTGTGTCAGGCTCAGGAGGTGCGAGAGGTGATGGAGGCTGAGATGAGGACACAGCTGCGTCGTCAGGCTGCTGCACACACAGATCACCTGCGGGACGTGCTGAAGGTTCAGGAGCAGGAGCTGCACGAGGAGGCCCAGGAGGTACCAACACTGCCCCTTACATGCACTAACAACTACATAGAATTTGTGATAGAATGTAACAGTTAAAGGACTTGTTAACTTGTTAAAAAAGAGATGGTGCTTGTGAGTGTGAGTGTGTGTGTGTGTGTGTGTAATTAACAGTAATGTCACTAACCAAACTCTCCTTAAGCAAAGAGAGCGTCAGCAGCATTATGAAAATCAGCTTCTAGTGAGTGGCGTAATTTCTCAGGACCTTGCTTTAAGACCAGCGGTTTTCCCATGAGCCACTGGGGTCTGTCAGACTTGAGCCAATCACAGCGCAGGAGCTTTAGCATCTCTCTGACAGAGAAAACAAGAGCATTGAGTTTAGCTGCTCATGTAATAAATAAATGTGTAATTATAATTTAACAACTTTAATAATATACTATTGATGTCTTTTATTTACTTTTTGCATTCAATAATTTAAACAAATATGCAATTAAATGTTTAACAATTTTAATAATATGCTATTAATATTTTGTTTGATTTTAATATTAAATAATTTTAATCATTTTTAAAAAGTTTAATAATTTAGCCATTTTAATAATATACTATTAATATTTTTATTTTAATATTTAATAATGTAAATACATTTTCAATTGAATATTTAATAATAATTTAACATGTTATTACAATTTAGTAATTTATCAATTCACTTTCCATTCACACTGTTGTCTTCTGATATAAATATTATAATATTGGAATATTTTAATATTACATAACTTAAAAATTCTATTAAATATTTAATACCAATTAATAATGATGTAACAATTTTAATAAACAATTAATATTTATTTGATGTTAATAGTAAATAATGTAAATAAATATGCACATATACTGTTTATAAATCTATAAGCTTTTTTTCCAGAAAATACTATAATTTGTGTGTACAGTATATATCAATAGTAGAAAATTAAAATAAAATTATTTAATATATATTTTAAATATTTTAATAATATTTTACTATTAATTAAGACACATCTCACTCCACTTTATATTTACACTGTTGTTTTTGAAACTCTATTAATATATTGTATATTATATCAAGTCAAGTCAAGTCAAGTCTGCTTTATTGTCAATTCTTCCACATGTACAGCACATACACACAGAGAATTGAAATTGCGTTACTCTCAGACCCT